CTGGAGCCGACACTGGAGCGAGCTCTGGGGCTGGAGCCGACACTGGAGCGAGCTCTGGGGCTGGAGCCGACACTGGAGCGAGCTCTGGGGCTTCATTCTCCTCCTTGGGTTATGGGGAAACTGAGCAGCCGGCGGGCTTGACTTCGCAGCGGCCGGCGGGCTTGACAACGGCGCGGCCAGCAGGCCTATCTTTGGAGCGGCCAGCGGGCTCGTCTTCGGAGCAGCGAAACGTGCGGCGGTTTCCATGCCGCGGGGAAAACAAGGAAAACAAAAAACTTTCAAAATAGAAATAAAACGGAGAAGGGGTGACGCATACTATTTTGTCTGGTCCGATATTCTGTCACGGTTGCACTACTGAGTGGAGTGCGGAGCAAGGAACAGAGGGAGACGAGGAGTACATCAATACAGAGACTTTTAATAACATAAAGGAAACATGGAAAACTAACGTAGACATGAACAATACCGGATGCTGAACTAAAAACAGGGAACACTATTTAAGCACATGACAAGACGAGGGGATGACGAGACACACCTGGGATCAATGGAAATAAACAGGGAACACCTGGAATTAAATCAACATAATCAGGACAGGAACAGGAAACTAACCAAATATGGGCATAAACACTGGGACACAGGGAGCACATGGGGAACAAAATACAACACAAGCCTGACAGTTGCACTATATACTATGTACTTATGCACCCTGTATTAAAACATGTAGTGTATGAATTTTATAAGGTTATTTTGCCACTCATATTTGGATTCTGATAGCCCCTCCGCTATGTATTTTCAGTGTGAACAAACTACTTGCACTATTTATACTACAAAACAACGTAGAATAGTGCATAAGTATACAATTTGGGATGCACCTTTAGAAAAAAATCATTAAAAGATTTAAGAAGAAATTAATAATTTTATTCAGCATTTTAATTAAATGCCATCCAGCCTCTAATGAGCAATCAGTATCAACCAATTAAAGGGGTCATATGATGCTATTTCAATTTTTCCTTACAACGCACTGGATAGCTGGCTAATCAGAGCACACCTCGCTTTTCAGACCGATTAGTTTTGTAAAAATCGACGCGTTTCAAAAAGGCGGGGCATAGAGGAGAAACAATAATGTACAGTATGTGGAAAATAATGTGTTTTTTTTACTTTAAACCGCATAAACACATTTCATTACACCAAATACACAAAATAATGTTCTTTTTAGCAGCATCATATGACCCCTTTAAAAGGGAAAACACATCCAGAATCACAGCTTTGAAAAAGGGATAAAGCACTGAGTAGATTTTCTGGAGAAAATCGTGCAAAAGTTACTTCTATAACACTAGCTGTGCATCCGAAATCACATACTGTCTGATTAGGTACTACATTTGAATTTTTATTTACGTCATGACTGTTAAAAAAGTACGTTCTATATAGTATGAATATTGGTAGTGTGAATTAAATTCAGACATACTACATCCGCCATGTTGTTACGGTCACATGACCTACCATCATCAATTGCGTAGCTTCACTTCCATTCATTAATCCTCTCCCGTGGCCTCATGGGATATTAATGTGTCTATCAAATGCGCACTTCAGAATCCGGGCGGAAGAATTAGGTCATCCAGGTACTTTTTGCTTACTGTTTTTCGAATACTATGAATTCAGACATACTACTAGCTCGACATACTGTTTTTCACCTACTATATAGTAGGGAAGTAACAGCATCTGATGAAAGTTATTTTATGAAGAATTTTATTTTGGAGAAAAAAATGCAGATGGCATAAAATTATCTACTAGAAGGAAACATGTCTATGTGCACCTAAGTATGAGCAATATTAGTGATGCTTGACTTGCCAAAAAATAAATAAACAAAAGTTTATTCAACAAGGATGCATTAAATTGATCTAAAGTGACAGTATATAACGTAACAAAAGATTTCTGTTTAAGATAAATGTTGCTTTTGAACTTTCTATTTCTTTCCACAAAAATATGATAATAAGAAGAGCAGCAAATCAGAATATTAGAATGATTTTTGAAGGATCATGTGACACTGAAGACTGGAGTAATGATGCTGAAAATTCAGCTTTGATCACAGAAATAAATTACTGTTTAATTATTAATCATTTAATTTAAATAAATTAAATGATGGTAGGTCTTGTGACCGTAACAACATGGCGGATGTAGTGTCTGAATTTCATTCACACTACCAATATTCATTCAATATTCAAATAGAAAACACTTATTTGAAATTGTAATAATGTTTCACAATATTACTGTTTTTTACTGTATTTTTGATCAAATAAATGCAGCCTTTCATAAGAGGCATCTTTAAAAAAAAATTAAATCTTTTGAACGGTTGTACATGTAAGGAAAAAAGAAAGAAAGAAAAAGAGTGAGCTAGGCTGATCTTGCTTAATCCCAGAATGCCGAGATGTCCCATGTTGCCATGGATTCTGTAACCTGATAATGTGAACAGACTGTACCCTCACTGTGGGAATATGGGCGGCTTTCACCTCATCTCACAACTCGGGCCCTCTCTGAACTCCCTCTGGGCTGCTGGCTGACACAGACCTGCTAATGATGACGGGGGGGGGGGGGGGGGGGGGGGATCAGAACTCCATCTGTAGCCAAAATCACAGTTAATGCATATGGAGCTTTACAAGCTATACTCATCATTTAACAGTTAAGCAACGTTACAAATAGTTAAAGAGAATAATATATTTTTAAATATATCAGATGATGTCATTTATTTTTATAACCAAACAAAAAACAATGAAGATCTCATCTGGAGTGGCAGCATAAAACTTGAACACATCACTTTATACTAAACAACTAAAAGAAACACTCATATACAGAACCAAAAATATAGGTACAAACAGCAGCATTTCTCTAAATGAATCATTGAATCATTCATGAGAACCATCCAAATGAACTAATTCACCAAAATCAACAGGCTGTTCATGGACAGTCAAAAACAATCTGGCAAAATCCATTGTGATTAACTGGCTTTATGCAAGTCCCAGGAGTCTAGGTTTTACATATATCATGTTGACAAGGTACCAGGCTGAACAAGCACTTCTCAGACTAGTAACCAGATTTGCCACAGTTCATGGCAATGAATCTTTGAAACATTGAAATGTTTTGTTTGAACTGTGATCACAATAAGTTGCAAAGAAGACCGGTTTGCCTGTGCGTAACTACGAGCTCTTTTTCCAGTGGTCAACCACATCCGAAAGCTCTCAAGACCGGTTCAGTTTTAAGAGGGTCACTAGATGCTTGCTGCACAGATTTAGCTTGTGAAATGTAGTGTAAGAGTGTTCTGACTTTCATTTGGCCATTATGAGATTTAGTAGTAAAGATTCAAGCTTTCAGTGTGCTGTCTAAGTCATTCTGAGCACATACCTGGCAGCTGTTCACAGAATCAGCGACGCACTTCTCCAGAGTCAGACAGCAGAAATAATTCTTCACCAGCACAGCTGGAAAGCCTTGGATGACCAGCGCTCAGCCAGGAGGGAATTCGTTGGATTAAACATCGTTTTACTAGTTCCCGTTCTGTAGCTCCCTTCAACAAAGAGCAAGCAAAGTGGAACTAAATCCTGGAAGGGTATGTTGATAAAATTGCAAATCTTTGAAAATTCTACAACTCTTTGGTTGCCCTGTTTGAAAACAGCATGAAAAATAACATTTGACAGTCTTTAGAAACACTTTCAAGTACCTTATTTAATGTATGATTTATTTATGATATAATGTTAGTTGAGTAAACAATAATATCTTTTGAGCATTTTATTGAGTTGATTGATTAATAAAAATCTTATACAGTGTGTAAATTGAATTAAATGTACAATTCTGAAGTAGAAAGACTGAAATAGTATTTTCTTGCAAAACATACTCCAATATTATGTTTTATTTGCAACTTCGAAAAATCATTTCAACAGTGTAATTAAATTGCTTTAGCTGAAAATATTACTGTAATGTACTACTGTACAAAATGAGGTAACACTTTATTTCGATAGTCCACTTTAGACATTCTATTAACAGTAAGTAACTTTGCAACTACATGTCAACTAGCAGTTAGTAGAGTATTAGTAGACTGTCTGCTTAATATCTTCTAACACTTTCTTTGTCAACTTATTCTACTAACCCTAAACCTACCCTAACAGTCTACTCTGAGAGTTAGTAGACATCTAGTTGCAAATTAATGAGAATTAGTTGACATATAGTTGACATGTAGTTACAAAGTTACGTATAGTTAATAGAATGTCTAAAGTGGACTATCGAAATAAAGTGTAACCATAAATTTTTTTTTTGTAGTTATAGCTCTGGAAATGTGCTGAAATTGTTTGCTACATTAATAAATAATATATTTTTTAAATGTTCTACCCAAGACTGATTGATCAGAAGGTACACAAGTTGGTTTGAAGGGACATTTGAACCAAAAACAAAAAGACAAAACATTTACTCAAACTCATGTCTTTTCAATCCCTCATCTTTAAAACAAAAATGAAGATATTATTAATATTATCTCGTTGTCCATCCATTAAAAGTCTATTAACAAACAGAAGTCAAGCAAGCATATTTGAGCCATGATCTAAAAGTGGATCTGTCACCCATGGCTTTTCCATTTTGGCCTAGTTTTTGTTACATAAATAATGACACGGTGTGATATGTCATGTGTTGTTGTTCATCTGAAGTTTTATTTTCCAGATTTTAAGACCTGCTAAGGACCAGATTTTTATTATTTTATTACGTCCTGATATGGAAAGCCAGGGAATTCAATAGGGTGCCCTTTCTTTTTCACATGACTGTACATCTTGGATGGCCTGAGGGGGAGTAAAGTATCAGCAAATTTTCATTTTTGGGTGAACTATTCCTTTAAAAAGTATTTTCTGATGAATAAACGTCTTATGGGTTTGGAACAACATTTTCATTTTTGGTTCGACTAACCCTTTAAGCCATAATTTTAAATTTGATAATTAGTAATTTAACAAAACTCATTCGCCCATAGATACTTACTTGTTACCCTTGGTCTCTAAGGTCATGCGTTCAGGTTCTGTCATTTCCATGTAGTTCTTGGACCAGACGAATTTGGAGTCAGCGGTGAGGTTAGAGCACTCAAAATTCAGTGAAATGACGCCGTCATCGTCAACATTCACAACTATCTCGGTAGTTCCTGTGAGAAAGAAATGGCTTGTTGGATTTTGTTGAGAGTAGTTAAGTCTTGTTGATTTTGGTTTGTTTTTAGGGTTAACCTGGATTTAAAAACAACTCTAAACAGATTCCTCATTTGCAAAAGCACCCACTGTAAAGATTATGAGATTACGTGTAAAAAGAAAAAAAAAAAAGTAATTTTCAGAGGTATATCAAGTTATTTGAAGAGAGATCATGAAGACAAATGTATGAATTGTACAGAAGAAAAGGATAATTTTAATTTATTTCACATTGATTTCAATTTTATCTGCAGTAGCTTTTTTTGCAGTACAGTAAAATGTTATTTGATAAATTCTAGTTCTGTCTAGTTTAGTACCTGGTTTAGTCACTGCCTCAACTGGTTCTGTTGGATCTGATGCTTTTCCTACACCGGCTTTGTTCTGAGCGCGCACACGGAAAACATACGATTCCCCCTCCTTTAGATCCTTGATCTAGAATAAGAGAAACAACATTTACTACCATAAACCTACCCTTGTGAAAAAAGAAGTGTGCTTAATTGTATTAAATGTGAACTTGTAGTGTGCTTCAAATCTTAAAAGTATATTTAAAAAGATGACATAATTGTATAGATAATAGTTATGAAATAAAAGGCCACTTAAGTGACTCAAAGAGTGACACTTTCATGTCATAACACACTTAAGTACACTTTTAAAAAGTGCACTTTTTAATGTAAAATTAAAAGTTGTAAAGTACATTTTGAGTCAATATGTTTTAATAATCTTTTTTTGTGCTTATTTTGACATACTACAGCACATGTAGAGGTTATGGTTAATATATATTAAATGTACTAAATTGCAATTATCATTTCAAATGAGTAATTACAAATATATTTAAATACATGACATACAAGTTTCAATAGAAATGACATTAAAGTATATTTTAGTTTAACATAAATGCTTGTAAGTACATTCAATGGTACGTTAACCATATTTCAAAGACAACAGAAGTAATTATGAAATTACATATAAAGATGTACTTAAGTCCTACTTAAGTCCTACTTAAGTGGGTAAAAAACCCTCTAAAGTTCAGCTAATTGCATTTAATACAAATTTATGTATTAAAAAATATTTTAATTGCAATTAACATGCAGTTAAGTTTCCAAAAACATTACATTGAGTTTTCACTTAAGTATATCCTTTTAAATTATTTCCATAATAAGTACTCATTTTAAAAGTATGCTACAAGAGTACTTAATTTTCTCAAAGGTATACCAATATCACAACCCTTAACAAACTCCACTGCCCTACGGCTTCCATATGCATACAAACCTTCTTGAATGTCTTGTCAGTAGCTTTCTCATTGACTCCTCTCCACATCTCAAAGTCTGCGTCAGCCTCTTTGATATCAATGTAGTATCCATTGACAGCATCACGACCCTGGTAGACAGGCGGTTTCCAGAGCAAGACCAGAGAGTCCTTACGCACCTCCTGTACTTGGAGGTCATGGGGTGGTCCTAAAAACAGG